AGCACACCCGCCCCGCCACCCACCGCCCCCCAACACACACACACACATGTACAAACGTGCGCGCGCCGGTCGCTTTGAGTCATTTTCTTGCGTGTTCTTACATCCGTGACGCAGATGACGCAGACAACAGACTTGCGGGACTGCACTCTGCTCTGCTCTGTATAGGTTAGCGTTGACGCAGGTTAAACGAAAGATTTGACAGAGCAGAGAGAATGGTGGGAAACGCTCTTGTCTTATTGTGTTAATTTTTTATCAGTCGCACCAGACTGCTAACTAATTTATTGTTTCATGGAAAATATCGCGTGCACAATATTTCGAGATCGCGGTATACCGGACGAAGCTACATTCCAAGATCTTGAAAAGTCAACAGTACAAAATGAAGCCTTTAATCGAATTCGAGGAATGCTTACGGGATACTCCCAAGTTTCGGTAAGATTTCTCCCCTCCCCCCCTTCCCACACACAGACACAATTTGTTTGATACAAAGGAACAGCATTTGTATCTCTCAATGATTTTCTGTTATATTCTATTCGTTACTAATCGTTTCTAGGTAGTTTAAGCTTAATACATTTTTTAGCTTAAGATGACATTTTACACTAAATTGACTATAAATGACAAAGTGTTGTGTGAAATGTACACTTTACAGATTATGCATCGAAGAGGTGGAGAAGAATGTGGAACTACTAGAACAAAAATTAGATAAGGTATCCTATAATATTATAAAATATCTTATTTAAACAAGACATTTGTACATCATTAATTTAACTTTTGCACTATCTGAAAATGATTACACTTAATACATGGATTAAATAATATGCAAATAGTAGACAATTTAATGATAACAATATGACAAGAGTAATTTTTACATATAATTATCACATTATAATATACATATATATATATATATGATTATCATCTAAAAAGTATCTGCGGTTTTTTGTCACTAGATGTGTGTTGATGGTCATATATCTAGTGACAAAGTACCGCGGATACTTTTTAGATGACCCAATATATATGTGTAACAGCATCTAAAAAATGTATACCAACTTTATAATTTTTTTCTTTAGGTATTAAAAAATTGCAGTCTGACTATTGATACTGGAAAAGCCTTTGTTGGACAGCAAAAGTAAGTTTCGTATATCAATATGTAACAATATATTTTGTCTTTTTCAACTTGTTAATCAATTGCAATCGTTTTGTCAAATATACTTTATTAAAATTAACTAAGGATATTATCATGAAGATGTGCAAAGGAATATATATATATATATATAGAAGAATAAATAAATTTTATATATATATAAAATGCATGTATATTATGCAATAATAAAAATTAATGACAATCAAGGAAAAAGTAAACAAAATACTAATGAATTATATATTAAATAACATAAAAAATTTTCCACATTATATTTATATATACCCACATCTTTTTGACACACACACACACACACACACACACACACACCCACTTAACATATATGTATGTATAATGATACATCTTTAATATTAATAATTGTTATTTTTCTTAAAGCCAATTTGCCAATAGTCTATGGGAATTATCTTTATACTTCAGCGATGATCCAGAAATAATGGCATTCTTAAATAAGCTTATACATGCTTTACAAGAAATGAACAAGTATCATACTATTTTATTAGATCAAGCTTCTAGGACTGTGATGAAGGATCTTAATAATTTTATTAAAAGGTAAATTTTACACACACACACGCACACACACATCAATTTTCAAATAAAATTGACAAGTTCTGCGAAATTCTACAAAATTTTACAATCAATCAAGAGCAAAAGAGACTCGGCACTACTTTGAAAGAATTTCCAGTGATCTTGATATTGCACTGAATAGGAATTCTCAAGTACCGAAATCTCGGCCTATGGAATACGAAGAAACATCAAACATTCTGTCGGCTACCCGATCATGTTTTCGACACACTGCTTTAGATTATATTCACGCTTTGACGATGCTGCAAGCGCACAAGCGACACGAGATATTAGGCACATTATTAAGCTATATGCACGCGTGTATTACTTATTATCATCAAGGAAGCGATCTTGCTCAAGATTTAGATCCTTTTCTCAAAGATCTCGATGAAAATTTAATTCAGATGAGAGGTGATTCAAATAAACTCGAAAAAGAAATGGAAAATCGTCATATTTATGTTAACAATCGAGATTTGATTCCTTCTCTGGTACCTGGCAATTCCAAGATGGAAGGCTATTTATTTAAAAGGACTAGCAATGCTTTTAAAACTTGGAATAGAAGGTGGTTCTGTTTGAAGGATCATCAGCTAGTATATCGAAAGAGAATAGGTGACGAAGGCTATACAATTATGGAAGAAGATTTGCGATTATGTACTGTAAAACCTGTAGTTGATTGCGACAGGAGAAATTGTTTTGAAGTTTTAAGTCCGACAAAGTAAGTAGATACCAGTTTCCAATTTGTGCAGTAATTACTATAATATAACAAAAGTAAAAGTTATACTTTTCATAAGTGAATAAAAAATTAAATTTCAATTTTCTAGGAGTCACATGCTGCAAGCAGACAGCGAAGAATCGTATTTGGCATGGATAACTGCGATGCAGCAGGCTATTGGCGCTGCTATTCAAAGAGGCATGAGTGTAGTTGCTAACATTAATCCACATGAATTACAATCACGTGATAGTCCTACGAGACCATTGACAAGACTAAAGTCAAGGTGAGTATTGACACTTTTTATGCTGCCGATTTATATTGAAGAGGTGAGAGTATTTTATCACAAGTTATCACTTTGAAATTTCAGAGTGTGGGAACAGTTATTAAAGATCTCGGGTAATGAGGTTTGCTGCGATTGCAGCGATGTTAACCCACGATGGGCTAGTATCAATCTAGGCATTACGCTTTGCATAGGTAAGCTTTACTCAACAAAATGTATGTGGTGCTACTTTTAACACGATGTGACTTGATATTTTTCACGTTTATCTAGAATGTTCTGGTGTACATAGAAGTCTTGGGGTACACTACAGTAAAGTTCGATCCTTAACATTGGATGATTGGGAACCAGAAATACTTAAAGTGATGGCAGAATTAGGCAATTCTGTGGTAAATAGCATATACGAAGCTCTACCTGTACCTTCCGACATTACTAAAGCTACACCAAAATGCAATGGGTATATAATGTCATGATAAATTGATCAGCTATCTCCTGTTTAATGGCAATAAAAGAAAATCTTACAAAAAATGTTTACATCCCTTTTCTCTAGTAACGTTCGAGAAGCTTGGATAAAATTCAAATATATAGATCGTAAATTTGTAAAACCTCTGACTGATGTAATACCAGCTGGGCATCACGCTAGTCGCGAGCAAATGCGATTTCGAAAATGGAGTGTGCGTAAATTACGTCGCAGACCACGTAGTTGCGATAAGATCGATAATAGTAGTGGCAGTAAAACGTTGACATTATTACCTGTCAAAGAAACTTATCCTTCAACGAGCTCGGATGAAAGTAAACATACGTCAATCGACAGTTTGAATTCCGTTGGTAAAGCAAAGAAAATTGAACGAAATTCCGTAAGCTCGGATGATAGTGCTAATATAGATTTGAAAAACAATTCTACTCTTTACGGAAAGATCTTAAATCGTTCGCAGAACGATTTGAATGAAGTTAGTAAATATGTTAAGAGTACAACTGCAACTCGTGAAGAAGTCGCAAGTGTCGAGCCGCTTGCAAAAGAGCTTGGTTCGATGGAAAGCGAACTGAAATTGAATACAACTGAAACAGTGAATATTAATACATTTTTAGTCGTCGAATCGGACGACAGTTTCAATAAACATACCAATGATAAAGTCAAGGATGATAATAAAAACATTTCAGGAAATAAAGAGCTTGGATCAAAGAAGCACTATAATGAAAAAGTACAATCAGCTGTCTTAATGTTTGGTTGCGATGTACCAAAACCTGCTATCGATAACAATTTAGAATTAAGTTCTGATCAAGATTCAACGGCTGGCGAGGATGAAGAATTTACTGATGAAGAAGATATAGAAAATCTGCATCCTGAGATGTTGCTATACAAAGCTGCAGCAGCGCATAATTTACCGGTAATGTGTGCAGCATTAGCGGCCGGTGCTGATAAGTTGTGGTCGAATGTTAATGATAAAAGCCGCAGTTCTCTACATCAAGCGATAATAAGTGTATGTACGACATTTTATATAAAACGTGAGCGCGCGCACACACAATGTATACATATAATTTTTCTTTTTTGTGAATTACATTTCATACATTTCTCACACTATTTCTGCAAAAAACATGATTCAAAATATACAAATGTGTAAATTAATTATGTATTTTCTTGTATGCAGGGTTCCGTTATGTCATGTGAGTATCTCCTTTTAAACGGTGCACGAATCAATTGTCAAGACGCCGAGGGAAAAACGCCATTGCATTTAGCGACAGAATTAGGTACATAATATTGTCTTTATGTTTTTCGAAACGAAAGAGGGGAGAAGAATTTTATATATTATTAGGTGTTGGAATTAATTCGTAGCGTTTTACAAGTGATGGGAAGTACTTTCATTAATGTATTTTTTAATGCTCATGTGAAATAAATAACATTCTTTCATTAAAAAACGCTACGAATTAATTCCAACACCTAATAATATTTTATAAATTTTTACAATTATAGGACATACTGCCCAAGTATGCCTACTTCTTAAACATCGTGCTGATCAACATATTGAAGATGAAAGTGGAATAAAACCTCTGTCAATTGCTGTAAAAGAAGCAAACGCCGATATCGTTACTTTGTAAGTATTATCTGTCTAAAGATTTATGTACGTATATAGACTTAGACTTTTATGTATATATTATAAAATATTTTATTTTATTACATCAATGTATTTATGGCAGATTACGACTTGGTCTCTTAAATGAAGAAATGAAAGACTCTGAAATAGGTGTCACCGGTGATGAAACATTTAATGACGTTGTTCGTGATTTCAGTCAGTTGGCTTGCTCACATCCCGAACGATTGCAACGTCGAAATGAAACCACAAATTTATCACATATGCCTGAATAAGGTTTACAAATTTTTATATAACACTCACATAAATGTATAAATAAATCATATTTTATATATCATATGAATTAGCGCCCGTGCTGCCTTTCAAATTGTTGCACAGTATCGATTGTCTGTTGCATTAATGTAAGTAAAAGCTGGAAATTTTCACACATCAAAATTATTAAATATCAATTGTTTTCATTTGTTTGGAAAACTAAACCATTGTAATTGTAATATTCAAAACAAATTCATTTATATCCTTTCATTCTTGATATATGTCATCACTGTAAAATTGGTCACCTTTTCATAATGATTTCTTACTCACTGAGTAATGTAGTTTTTATAACGAGAAAATGATTTATAACAAACGTATATACATCACATATAGAATTTTATTTTATACACACACACACACACACACACACAGCACAGCACAGCATAGCACAGCACAGCACAGCATAGCACAGGGTGTCCGTCCATAAATGTCCAAGCAAATATCTCGCAACTGATTGAAGTTATAAGAAAGTTTAATAAGAAAAATTTGTAGCGGCTCAGCTGCAAAGTGTACGCTAAATTTTTTTTCTACTCTTGGCTTTTTCAAGTTATGTGGGTTAATATAGTTTTTTTTAAATGGATATCTATAATTTTTTTGCATATTTATATAATAGGAAGCATTTGCAATCAAAATCATATCATATATATATAGTAAAAAATTGCTACTATGGATCGTTTACGAGATAATCGACATCTTAAGTATTGAATCTTAAGAAGTTGATTTCCATATCACAATTTGAAAAATAAGATTCAGACTAATATTTTGAATTCGGTTGTCAAACAGGATCACTGATCTTCAACTGGTCAAAATACGTGATTGCTTGTTTTGTAAATAAAGTATTTGTCTAACGTAGAGTATGAAATTTAGTGCAGTATCTGTTAGTCAATCGGTCAGTCGTTTTTTCAATAAATACATATCATGTCGTAGATTACGAAAATAACGATGTTTACAATTAGTGAAAAGTGTGATACGTTCGAGATGTGGCATTTGTCAAGTATGCGTAATGAAAATAAAGCTCAGCTATTTTATCAACAAAAGTATCCAGAACGAACGATAGCAAACGGCCGTACATACATTTCGGCGAGTCGAAGATTACGTCGAACAGGATCACTAACAAGACAACGTTGTACAGAATAGACCAAGAGAAAGAGACAAGTGTGCTATTAAATTTTATTGAAAACAAACGTACATCCATAAGAATAGTAGCATGTAATTTAAAAGTATCAAGAAATTACATGCATGCTGTATTAAAGAAATACAAATTCTAACCGTTTCGTGATAATTTAATACAAGTTTTACATGAGCCACCGAAATCTGTGAATTTTTTTCTTTTGGGAATATATTAAAGACATCGTCTACGCAACTGTTCCTGAAAATGAAGAAGATTTACGACATAAAATTGCTAGAGCTGTTGAAGGCATTACAGTAGAAATGCTGCAGTCAACAATGACAAATATTATAAAACGCGTTGAATGTTGTATTGAACACGATGATTCGAACAATTTCGAACAATTTATGGGTTAATAAATATTCCACAAAAAACATTATTCGTTTTCTTCTTCGACATTTCAAATCATGTTCAAAATTACTTTGGATCCAATTTACTACTTTGATACTTAAGATATTGATTATCTGGTAAATGCATAGTAGCAATTTTGTATATATAATTTTGCTCGCAAATGCTCCCTGCTATACAAATATGCAAAAAAATTATAGGTATTTATTTAAAAAAACCTATGTTAATCTATATAACTCGAAAAAGCCAAGAGTAGACAAAAATTTTTTACGTGTACTTTGTAGCTGACTCGGAATTCTAGAAATTTCTCGCATTAAACTTTCTTGTAACTTCAACCACCGAGCGAGATATTTGCTCGAACATTTATGGACGAACATCCTGTATATAATCCACTAGGCTATATAGTATAATGTAAAATAAATTCTTTCTAGCAATTTGGTGCTTAATAAAATTGCAACATGCGAAATATTACATAGCTTTTTTTAATATTTAGCAAGCAAAAATAAAATAAACATCATATATAGATAAATATATATATATATAAATGGTTATAATATTAATATATATATAAATGGTTTATAAGTAATATTTATCTATATATGATGTTTGTTTTATCTTTGCAAATATTAGATGGTGTAAAAACTTTGGAAATTTGCTTAATTTATATTATATTGAAAGTTTCACTGCATTGCATCATAAATTTTATATTCATATCTGGTGGGGGATATAATCCTCAGGTAGATTTTTTTATACATACACGTATATCCGTATACACTTTATGTATCAATGTTATGAGTATACGCGATTAAACTTAATTTAGTTACAAATCACACATATACATATCTTTAGAGAGTAGCATGACATCAATATAATAAATCTTTTTGTTATAAATATATATAAATAATATATTGTAGCACACTTGTTACACACACACACACACACACACACACACACACACACACACACGAATGATTTACAGTATTGATTGATAATAACAGCTTTCAGATATAGGTAAACTATGTTTTCCCAAAATATTGATCCATTTTTATTGCGTAAAAAAGAAAAATATAGCCTCTGTTGCCAAAAGTTTTCATTTATATGATGAAAACGCGAAGATTGGATCTGATTAAATTTAAATATATTCTAAGAAATATGGTTACATTTTATATGTGTATCTATAACAAAAATAAATAGTGCAACTGCGTGGAATAAATCACGGAATTAAGTAACCAACTAAATTTCAATAAAATATATACACGCATTACACGCGTGCAAACATCTCGAATTTACAATTGAAAGCATGAATGATACAATGTTGTTTGTGCACGTGCGTGCGTATGCGCGTGTGTACAATTTGCTATAAATATGTTTTGTATAATATTATATATATGTATATTATATATATGTATTTTATTGTGTTTATATTATATATAGGAATATATATAATTTTTATTTACTCCGTAAGCACAGTCTAGGTCTTTGCAGAACGCGAGTCACAGATCGCATACTTGTTGCGACAGCCAATCGAAAGTATCCATTTAAAAATTGACGTATCAGGTTGGCTGTTGTAACAAACTTGCGATCTGTGACTCGCGTTTTGTGTGCTATGTAGATCGAGCTTTACTGTTCCTAGCTTTTAAAAAACATCTAGAAAAATTAAAAGTTACTTCTCGACATCTCTGTTACATTGTCAAATAGTTATTCAACTGAAATCTTTATTTAATAAAAATGAAAATTTGCGCCAAGAAATTTGAGTGAAATTTTATCTTGATAAAAAAAGACCCAGTGTGCCTATGAAGGATTAACATATAATTATATACGTGCATGTTAATGGAATAATAGATAATATACAACATTTCTGATAAAATCAATTATTGATGCTATATTATTGAATCACTGCAATATCAACCTGAAATAACATTATTATATCATTTTTTGCGAAACGATTAAATACTAAAACATGTATGTACATGCAGAAGACCATTAGTGTTATAGATGCTTTAGCTGTTACTCTATGTTACTCAAACATTACGTTAGATTAGAGACACGCATGAGTTTTGATCAAGAAAATAATTTAGATGTATTATTAATAACTGATATGAGTACAATGATATATTTTTGTCATATCGTTTACCATTGGTATAAAACTTTATTATAAAAGTGATTCCGACATTGTTATCGATTTGAAAAAATTCGAGCCAATCAATTAAAGTAGTAAATATGAAATATAAATATATACATATATATTTTTAATTTTCATAAAGATATATGGCATTAATGCGCAATTCTTAAGATTTGTGTAGTTTTTTAAGAATTGTGTAATTTTTAGAGTTTCATAAAATTACGGTGATTTTTTACTTGAAAAATTTGCAAGTACAAATACATATATTATATACATACATGTATAAGTACAAATACATTATATATGTGTATACATACACACACACATATATATATTTTTTTTTTGTTTTAATATACAAAATACCGTCAAACACATAATATTTGCATTTTGTATTTACAAAGTACTTGTACTTTTTATAATATCCACATACGTGTGTATTATACTTATAGGCTATCTAAAATTAGTAATAATGGGCGACATAATCTAGGTATCTATTGATTCATTACGCTAAATGTGACGAATTATTAATTTTTTACGAAATTTAAGATTTGCCTAGTGTAGATATGTATGAAATCTATCAAACAATTTTTATCCAATGAAAAATGTTCTTAGAATCAATCAAATTTTATTCGATAACACGTAGAGTTTTCACAATTTCTGTTGTTGCTATGTCGATTTAAAATCCAGCATTTCTATTGTAATATAAATTGTATGGAATTAATGAAACAACAATGAAAGGATTTTCAAGAAATTACGATCAATTTTCAATTTACATACACATGTAAATAAAAATAATAAATATATTATAGATAACATAATGGTATGATTTTTTTGCGATATACAATATCGTGTACAAAACTTAAATTATTATACATATTAAATGTAATATAAAAAGCTGCCGTCTTTATGAGAATAAAGACTTTATGCCTATAAAAAGTATATACTACTCTGTCGAAAAAATTTCAAGACTGGCTCAATAAAAAAGAATTAACGTAATTTATTCATGAATATTTATTTAATCGCCTTCAAAATATTCCCCATGGACTACAACGCACTTATGCCAGCGATTTTTCCAATCCTCGAAGGCCCCCCCTAGAACGCACTTTCTGGTGTCGCCTTCAATTCGTTCAGTGAATTCTTTTGAATTTCTTCAATGCTGTCAAAACGGCGACCACGCAGTGACAACTTAAACTTAGAAAAAAAGTCTGCTGGTGACAAGTCAGGCGAATACAGTGGTTGCGGAATCATATTAGTTGCGTTTTTGCAAAAAATCGAGAACAAGACGAGATCGGTGCGTCGGCGCATTATCGTGGTGCAAATACCAGCTGTTGTCTCGCCACAAATTCAGCCGTTTTTTTCGGATCGAATCGCAAACGCAAACGCTTCATAACAGCAAGATAATACTCCGTTGACTAATAATTCGTTGATTAATAATTCGTTGATTAATAATTCATTGATCCGTATTTCGAGGCATGGTAAAAATTGCTGTGAGTGAAAATTTCACTTTACAAAAGTGGTTCGAACTCGTTTGTAAACAAATTCAGCGTCGTGAAGTTTGGCACAAGTTTGATCGGTAATGTGTTATGAATAAAGTGTTATTGAAGTAAGAAAAAAATTGTTTTGACATCGGTTTAGCGTGCGCAATTTAATTTAGCCAGTTTCGAAATTTTTTGAACAAAGTAATATATAGGCACATTGTGTGTGTGTGTGTGTGTGTGTGTGCGCGCGCGCGCGCACGCGCGCGTGTGTGCGTGTGCATGTGCGTGTGCATTCTATCACGTTCTTTTCACACACAGGGAGACACACTTTACACACTTGGGTGTTATTAGCTGTTATTAATTATTCCAACGTCTACTTCTGCATAATTTGATACTGACTCGTGTTATTTGATCTACAAACTAAGCATGTTTCTGACAAAGCACAAAAATGCATCGTTAAACAGAACTCGCGTTTATTTGAAGGAACGTAAATATCATTGATTGAAAAGTCATTGATAAATATGTCAGTGGCAAGAAAAAGCAAATGTTTCAACCTTTTAAACATAAACTGCAATTTATATATGAAGAATAAACTATTTTCAAAGAATAAATCCTTGTATTAGAAGAGCATGATGTGTAAAAAGCAGAAATTTGGTTCAATTTGTTTTACATGATTTTTCAAATTATTATCTGGAGTACATGATATTTGAATGGATTTTTTTACGTTAGTCGAAATATATTTTCTTAATAATTCTGATGATTTTTTTTTATCTAATTATCTTGAAAAGAGATAAATTCACGTAAATATCGGAAAGTGCTGTATGTAATGAAATAATGTAACTATTGATATTTTGTAATTACACATTATATATATTTCTGCATATTTTTGTTTTTTATTTTAGCTCAAATAACATTTTATAATAATTATACATACGCATTACTTTGTTGTTTTAATCATTATGTTTTACATATTTATGTTTCTGTAATTTTTTTTTATCTTCCTGTGATAAAATTTCAATAAAAAATATTGGCTGACTACGCAAGAAAGAAGAGTAAAAAAAACTTATCTTTTTTTTGACAAAATTTTGATATATGTTTGTAAATGCGTGTT